GTTTTAATAGCCACAGCGCAGCAGCCTGGAGCTGGCTCTGGCTGTGGCCGGCTGAGAACATGCTAAGGAGCAATGAGGTTTCAGTCTAATTTTTTGTTCCTGATCACCCGTGTCGCCTTCCTGTGTACGAGCCACCCTCCACTGCCGAGGCCGGACCCCAGCAGAGAAAAAAGATAAGAAAGCAAGCTAACAGGTCTAGGACTCAAACTGAAGTCGGCCATGTGGGAGTCCAGGGCTTCTACCACCACTCTACTTGCTAGCCCCCCTGGTCTGAAGATTTAAAAGTCTTTAAATTTATCTATGATTGTCACAGAGGACCCAATAGTCACATAAGGAGAGAAGAAAGAGACTAAAAAACCAAATCAACGGAATTATTGAATTTATGTATAAGGTTTAACAACTATAAATAAAGTTATTTAAGCTTTCTGAGATTACTAGGACATGTCCTCAATGCTGAAGACTTTTCTTAAAGTCTTAATTATTTCTTCCATGAATGAGACAAAGAGAGAGACACTGCCCCCAACAGGATCTTACACCATAATCCACCCCCAGTTCAGTCAGTCCCAGATCAGGGACACATATGTGGCTGGTGTATTCGGGGAGGTCTATGTTCACAAACCCAGCACATTCCAGGTGAGTCAGCATCACAGAGTATCGAGTCTATAAGTACCACCAACTGGCTCCCACTGGAGATACTTTTTAAAGTAAAAAATTATCTTCAAGAGATGAATCCGTGCATTGGATTGTGGCATGGTGGCTAAGGGAGCTGGACCCCAAGTGAGTTCAATCCCCACTCCAGTGGTGTGCCAACAATCGCAAAAGGGAGGAGAAGTGGAGGATAAGGGATTGTGGCTGAACTACACCCAATTGAAAGGTGCTTTCTCTCTCTCTCTGTCTCTCTCAGGAAAGTACTCTCTGGTAAAAAGAGGAAAAAGAAGAGATAAATTTGATTACTCTGTTAGGAATATTTTTTTCCTTATGGTTCTACGATAATAAGTAGCTTATTTTAGAAAAAAATCATAAATTATAAAATCATTCTTTTGATGTATGCATAATGGTCTGTTACATACAGATATTTTTAGGAAAAAATAATCAGGATGGTTCCAAAGGAAATAATTTCTACATCTTTTTAAGAGTGTTACAACTTATAATTTTATCATTTAACGAATACAAATTAAAATCTTCATTTGTATAACCAAAAACTTTAATTTTTATTTTAAGATTTTTGCCATAGGACATGTGCTCGCCAAAGAGAGACAGCGAGAGGGAAAATGAGAAATCACCCCCTGGGGGGGATGACCATGCCACAATCCCTCTTCCTCCATTCTCTTCCTGGGATTTTGGCACCCACATATACATGAACACACACCTACCGTGACTTTCAAGCTACCAGGTCTGGGACTCAAACCACAGCCATGTGGGAGTCTAACACCTTAACCAGTATGCAACCTGCTGGCCCCACTAGAAACTTTAATATATATATATTTTTTAGAAGTTTTTGCTATAGGGCACGTGCACTTGCCAGACAGAGAGAGACAGAGAGACAAAAAGTGAGAAATCACCCCCTAGGGGGGATGGTCACACCGCAATCCCTTCTCCTCCATTCTCCTCTCGGGATCTTGAGCACGCACGCACACGCGCCCGGTGTGAGTTTAAGCCACCGGGTCCGGGATTCGAACCGCGGTCGACTACGTGGGAGTCCAGCGACATAGCCATTACGCTAACTGCTGGTCCCCAGAAACATTAATTTTAATAAAAAGATTAAATAAAATTTTTATTTATGTATGTATTAAAGAATTATTTTATTTAACTTTATTATTTTTATTTTTATTTGACCAGATAAGAACGGAGTGAAAGAGAGAGAGAGAGAGAGAAAGTGGGAAAACAAGACACCAGGTCTGGGACTCAAACTGCAGTCAGTCATGTGAGAGTCCAGTACCCTTAACCACCATGCCTCCTGCTGGCCCCAAAATTATTTATTTATATTCTCTCCTTATTCTCAAAAAGATGTAAAAGAGTTACCATGGTTTTATCAAGCAATTAAGATAAATTAGATAAGGAAATTAAGGATATACCAAACACTAAGTTAAGTCATAAAACCACAAGAAACCAAAGAAGCAAAAACTAGTAATTCAGGCCCAGTTGCAGTGACACACAAACAGCACCACTTGAGAGGCAAGAAGCCACATGGGAGGCCCAGGTTTGTTTCCCATGCTAACCCTGAACATGCCAGTATTGGGAACACTAATTCTAGCCAATTTGGAGGCTGGTTCAGGCAAATTATGACATGGTGAAACCATGTAGAAAATGCCTGTCTCTGTCTCCCTCCCTTGTCCTATCCTTCTCGCTCTGTTCTTCTCTCATAAATGAGGGGAAAATAATTCATAATAATCTAATAAGACCTAAAACTGATTTCACTTTACAGTACTATAGACACAGATTTTGCTAGATTAAATATAACAATTAAATACATTCATTACCTATGAACAGATCATGCTAGATTAAAAATGGTGAAAGTTGGGGTCAGCAGGTAGTGTAGAAGTTAAGGCGCTAGATCCCAGATAGTTGTCCTGGACTCAACAGCTTGAAAAATAACACCAGAAATATATGCATGTGTGACTAAAAAACTGAGGAGAACAGAAGAAAAGGGACAGCGGCATTGCCACCCCTCCTTGGGGATGATTTCTCACTTTTTCTCTCTCTCTCTGGCAAACACACGTGCCTTAAGAAAAAAAAAAAAAGTGAGAATGAAATTTCTCTCAGTTCTTCATTAAAATCAGCTAAAAATTGGAGGCTGGCAAGTGGCATCATGGTTAACACACTGGACTCTCATATGATGGACTGCAGTTTAACTCCCAGACCTAATGGTTTGCTTTCTCACTCACTTTTCCTTTTCTCTCCCTGGTCAGATTTTTAAAAATAACAATAATAAACAAAATTACATAAATAATTCTTTTTAAAAATCAGCTATAATGAGAACAGCAGATGATTATATCGCTGGACTCCTACATAGTTGACCATGGTTCGAGCCTCGGACCTGGTGGCTTAAAACTCACACCGGGCCTTTGTGTGTGTGTGTCCCAGATCCCAAAAGGAGAATGGAGAAGAAAGGATTGAGGTATGGCCATTTCCTCAAGGGGTGATTTCTCACTTTCTATCTCTCCAGCAAGCACATGTGCCCTGTAGCAAAAAATCTCTAAAAACTAAAAAAGAAAATCAGATATACATCATTAAGAAGAATATGAGCATTCATTTCGTTATCTGGATTTAGCTTAAATTTACATTTAAAATAACTTCTAGTATATTTCATAATACAGAGCTCCTGTTTTCGCTTAACCCCATTTCTGTTGCTTTTATAATAATCTCTCCCATCTTGACTCTCTATATTTAAGTTGCCCTTCTTAAATGAATTATTCTCTTTTATCCCCCTCTTTCTGGTCACATCTGCTTCATTGTTTCCTTGGGTAGCTTTCCTTTTGTTTGTTTTATGTACTCATTTTTAAATTTTTCTCATTTTTTTCACATTTAATCACTGCACATCTTCACAGCAGACAAAGTGAGTCTTCCTAGCATGAAAACACTGCGTATCAGTCCAGTCAAAGACAGTACCATACACATTATGATCAACAGTTAAGTTTCCATTTTTGTGTCCATTCAAATTCTCTCCTTCCATAAGGGTATACCTGAGAATTATTTATTACTCCCAACTTTTACACATCTCAGTCCTATACATTTACCTCTATAGTAATTAACATTTATTTCCTACTATGATGTTGAGGATTTCCATTTTTTTTTTCTTTTTTAAATTTTAGTTTTTGCTATAGGGTGCATGTGCTCACTGGGAGAGGCAGAAAGTTGGGGGTGGGGTGAGAAATCATCCCCCTAGGGGAGATGGCCATGTTCCAATCCCTTTTCTTGGGATTTTGGGCATGCACACACACATACTCAGCATGTATTTTATTTTTATTATTATTTTTTTGTTTGCTATTGTGCATATGCAGACAGAGAGAGGAAAAGAGAGGGAAAGTGAGAAACCAAGCCGCCAGGTCTGGGACTAGAACTGTGATCAGCCATGTGGGAGTCTAGTGCCTTAACCACACCACCCCACCTGCCAGCCTCCTCAGCATGTTTTTCAAGCCTACAAATCCACAGTGCAAACCACACTGTTGAGAAGGTGGGATCCAGCTGCCTTATCACCTGCTGGCCCCTAGGATTTCCACTTCTTTCTAGGATCCTTACCATTATTATACAGATCCTTACCATCATTATATAGATTTTGTCACACTATAGATGTGATAAAAGTATAGGAAAAGTTGTTTTTTCTTTTTAATTTACCTTTGTAAAGTGAGGAATTCCTAGAGTTGAGGGAAGGTTTTAGAAAATGGTCAGGTGATGGAAAGGCACAATGAGAAAAGCTCTCCCCTTTGACCGCTGTTTGAGGAAGGGTTTCACCTACCTCTTCATTTGGACTAGCGGAATCACTGTCTTCCAACAGGGTTCTATTTCCTGGTTTCCCAGTACCATATTTTGCTTCCACTACAGTAAAACCAAAGTAAAGAGTACATGAAAATATGTATAATTTCAAATCAATAAATAACACAAAAAAAGGCAGTCATCAAATAGCTTACTGTTTTTCATGTATTGCCGAGAAGCGATCACTAGCTTTCTTAAGTTTGGTTTTGGGGCCTCCTAGGGAAGAAAAAGTAGCTTTAAGAACAAAAGTATCAGCACTTTAATAAAGTACAAGAAAACTGTCAAAAAAGAAAAGAGTAACAAGCATCAAATTTGATTAAATAAATACAATCATCACTATTAGTATATGATCTAACACAAAGAACACAGGTTTTAGAGTCATTCATGTGTAAATATAAAACCCAATTCTTCCACTTACAAACCTACATCTTCCCATGGAGTAAGGTTTATGGAAGATGATACGGATATCCTCAAAAAGGTTACTCCTGGGACCAGCAGGAGGTATGGTGGTTAAGGTGCCATATTCCCACATGGCCGATCCAGTTCAAGTTCTGGACCCAGCAGCTTGAGAGGGATCCTGGGCATATGCATGTGAATAAGTGCCCAGAATCCCAAAAGGGGAATAGAGGAACAGGCATTGTGATGTGGCCATGTCCCATGGGAGGTGATTTCTCACTTTCCCTATCTTCACTGTGCCTCCCTCTGTGAACACAGGCACCCTCTGGCAAAAACAAAACAAAACAAAACAATGGTACTCCTCCCTGGCTGGTAGATACTGGGTATGTCCAAGTGCACCCATAATATCCTGGTTTGACTTCCATATCCAGCTGCTTGAAAAACATGCCAGCACGTGAAGGTGTATGTGCGAAATCCCTAGAGAAGAGTAAAGGAGAAGGGACTGTGGTATGGCATCCCTCCTGGGGGTGACACCTCTCTCTCTCTCTCTGGGGGTGACCTCTCTCTCTCTCTCTCTCTCTCTCTCTCTGTCTCTCTCTCCCTCCAGCGAGCACACATACCCTATTACAAAATTCTAAAATAAATAAATAAATAAGTTACTCTTCCTAACTCTAATGGATTATGACAAAAATACCATTATATTCATGAGATTATTCCTTTTATTTTAGAATTATTTTAATTTTATTCATTGTCATTATTTTATTTTATTTTTTGTTTTGAAATTGACCAGAGAGACACACAGAGAGAAGGAAAATGAGAGAGCAACTGCCAGATCTGGGACTAAAACCATGGTGAGCCATGTGGGAGTCCAGCTGCCGTAGCCATCATGCCACCTGCCAGCCCCAGATAATTTTCTTAATAAAAATAACCTAGAACAAATATTTATCTCTAGGTAGCCTAGAATATTTCTTAAAAACTAACATGAGGGGCCAGCAGGTGGCGTGGTAGTTAAGGGTGCTGGCCTCCCACATGGTCAACCACAGTTCAAGTCCTCGACCTGGTGGCTTTCTTTCTTTTTTTTTTTAGAGAGGTTTTCGCTATGGGGCGCGTGCGCTCCCCAGACAGACAGAGAGAGACAGAAAGCGAGAAATCACCCCCCCAGAGGGGATGGGCACGCCGCAATCCCTTCTCTTCCATTCTCTTCTCGGGATCTTGGGCACGCACGCACACGCGCCCGGCGTGAGTTTTAAGCCACCGGGTCTGGGATGCGAACTGCGGTCGACTACGTGGGAGTCCAGCGACATAGCCATTACGCTAACTGCTGGTTCCCGGTGGCTTGCTTTCTTACTTTCTCACTTTCTCTTTCTCTCTCTCTCTCTGTCCCTGTCTGGTCAGATAATTAAATAAATAAAGTTAAGCAAAATAATTTTTAAAAACTAACATTAAAATATTTAAATTAATAGTAGTTTTATTTGAAATGTGTTCACATGACTTATACTTGCATGAATTACTGCTTTTGGGGACAAATGTGAGAGTTTAGGTTTAAGTAGCATCTTATTTAGTTAGATGGATTGGAATTACAAAGAGTATAAATTGCTTCTATTCAATTGGTCAGTGTATATAAAACAGGATTTTTGTTCATACAATATCCTTAGTAATACTTATTTGTATTATTCTACATTTTTTATAAATACCAATGTAACAAAAAGTTTAATCCTATTACTCCTACTATTATCCAATTAATTAAACATAGTCATTTATCACTACCTGTTATTGCTCACAATTGCCAGAGGGCATGTGTGCTTGCCAGAGAGAGACAGAGAATCAGAGAGGGACAGAGGGGGAAAGCATGCCTTTATGGTGAATGGCCCATGCCACAGTCCCTTTCCTCCACTTCACCATCCTGTTGGGATTTAGGGCACACTCAGACATATGCCTGTTGTGTTTTTCCAGCAAGTAGGGCCGGGATTTGACTGCAGTCAGCCATACAGGCTCCAGGTTCCTAGGTACTGGGCTAGCCCGATCTATCACTACCTGAAAGCTGCAGTAATACTACAAGAATGAGAGAAAAATGGAAAAAAGGAATTTTCCATCAACTTTTAACTTGAAGGAAAAAACTGGCAATTAGAATACTAAAAAACAATTAATGGCTTCAAAAATCTCTCTAGGGGTCAGCAGGTGACATGGAAGTTAAGGCACTGGATCCCACATGGCTGACTGCACAGTTGAAGTCCCAAATACAGTGGTTTGAAGATCACACCAGGGGCAAGTGTGTGCATGCCCAAGATCCCAAGAGATAGAGAAGGGATTGTGGTATGGCCAGTCTCCCCTGAGGGGTGATTTCTCACTTTCTCTCTCTCTCAGGCAAGCATACATGCCCTATAGCAAAATTTAAAATATACATTTATTTAATAGAACATGAATTGAAACTAAAAAAAAGTTTAAGCAATTTTTATCTAAAATTCCTAATCCAAGTTCACAGTTGAAGAGCACCAGAAAATACACTATAACCTTCTTCCCTATTTATGAAATATTTCAAATTTATTTCTTTCATATTTAGCACATATTTCCTTAACATAACCCACCTGAACTTACACATCCTAACTAAAAGGGACTATAAATTTAAGCAACATTTTTATAATTTCATAGGCTTAATTATTAAATATAGCACACATTACTTGTAACATTACATTATTTAGAAATACATTAGTCTGCTCATTTATTCACATTTTGGAAATATTTAACTGCTCCTTATACATAAGACCTTATTCTGGGGGCACTAGAGTACTCACAAATATGTTTCCTAACCTCCAATAGCTCAAAGTGATACTGGAGCTTTAGAATGAATGTTTAAATAACTAAATACAAAAAATCCTGATATTCATTTTAGAATAGGATATGAGGACTTTGAGTAGATACTTTTTGAAACTGTAACAATAGGGCCAGCAGATGGCACAGTGGTTAAGGTGCTGAACTCCCACATGGCTGAGAGCAGTTCAAGTCCTGGATCTGGTGGCTTGAAAATCACACTGGGTGCATGTACAGGCATGCCCAAAAGCCCAAGAAAAGAAAGAAAAGGGACTGTGACAAGGCCATCCTCTAGGGGGTGATTTTTCAACTTCTATCACTCTGTCTCTCTCCAGTAAGTGCACATACCCTTTGACAAAAATCTAATAAATAAATAACTATAACGCAAATAAAACTTTTTTCTGAAACTGAAGTTTTATCATATGTTAAGAATTTCTGCTTCCGGCCAATCAAGTGGCATGGAGTTAAAGTAACTGGATCCCACATAGACAACTAACGTTGTTCTAGTCTGAATCCAAAGGCTTAAAAAACACACTGGGCACATGTACGTGTGTGCCCAAAACTCCCACAAGGAGATGAGACTGTAATGTGGTCAAGACCCTGAGGGATGATTCTCTCATTTGCACTTCCTCTAACTCTCTTCAGTAAGCGCACATGCCCTATAGCAGTCTTTTTTTTTAAAAGAAAGGATTTCTACTTCTAGAACTGGCTATAATTTTATGTAAAATAGTTATTCTTCAATTAAATGAAGAATTCTTTTTCTTTTTCTTTTATTTAGATATATGTCATAAGACATATGTGCTCATCAGAGACAGAGAGAAAGGGAAAGGAAAAATGAGAAATCATCCCCCTGAGGGGATGACCACGCCATAATTCCCTCTCCTCTACTCTTTTATTGGGATTTTGGGTATGCAGGTACATGTGCCTGGAGGTTTTCCAAGACACTGGGTCTGGGACTCAAACTGCAGAGGTGGCCATGTGGAATCCAGCACCTTACCACCATGACTTTGAAAGGTTTTTGCTATAGAGTGCATGCACTCGCCAGAAAGACAGAGAGAGACAGAGAGACAGAAAGCGAGAAATCACCCCCAGGGGAGATGGTCACACCGCAATCCCTTCTCCTCCATTCTCCTCTGGGGATCTTGGGCACGCACGCACATGTGCCCGGTGTGAGTTTAAGCCACCAGGACCAGGACTTGAACCACAGTTGGCTACACTGGAGTCCAGTGACACAGCCATTATGTCAACTGCTAGTCCCAAGTTTAAAATGTATTCATAATGGAATGACCTAGAAAACACAATGGAATCTCTTTGCAATATCAATTTTGTGAAAGAGAATTTAAATTTCTAAATTTCCACAATTTCTAATATTATTTGAGTTTAATATAAACCTATGGGTAGAAATAGAAAAAAATTCTCTCTTAAAAACGATGTGATATGGGGACATAGTGGTTATGGTGTTGGAGTACCACATGACCAACCACAGTTTAAGTCCCACACCTGGTGGCTTCATGCTTGGTACATGTCACATGTACCCAAACTTCTGGGAAGAGAATGAAGAAGGGATTACACAGCATGGTCATTCCCCATGGGGGATGATTTCATACTTTCCCCTCTCTCTGTCTCCCTGTTTTTCCAGCAAGCACATGAGCCCTATGGCAAAAAAATAAAAATAAAAAAATAAATAAACTATGTGATAACAAAATAAAGTATTGGGGCCCAGCAAGTGGTGTGGTTATTAAGGGTGCTAGACTCCCACATGGCTAACCATGGTCTGAGTCCCGAACCTGGTGGCTTGCTTTCTCACTTTCTCGCTGTCTCTCTCCCTCTCCTCTGTCTCTGTCCCTCTCTGGTTAAATATATATATATGTAAAAATATGCATATATATATATATACACACACACACACACACACTATGTTCTGTATTGTTTGGAACTGAAAGATACCAGAGACAGTCTATGATTATTATGACAACTGAATCCATTAAAGATGTATTCTGGATTGAGTACTGTAACAGTCATGTTAGTATGATTTAAAAGAGTCCTGGGACAAGCAAATGGAGTAATGGATACGTTGTTGGACTCCCACATGGTCAGCTGTGGTTCAAGTCCTGAGCCTGGAGGCTTGAAACATGCTGGGCACATGTGCATGAGGCCCAAAATCCCAGGAGGAGAAGGGATTGTGCCATGGCCATCCACCCTGGGGGGTGATGATTTCTAGCTTTCTAACTCTCTCTCTTTCACCAAGCACATACACCCTATAGCAAAAAATCTCTCCTAAAATTAAAAATAAAATAAAAGTAAGAATCCTTATCCAAATAATCCTTGACCAAATTTCATATGTCCTCTATTGTGGCAAATCTCCCAGTTTAATTTTCTTACCACTATGGATTTTCCAGTCCATTCATTTTTTTTCCAGCTATAACTGTCTCAAGTATTTACAATTACATGGTATTTACCAAAGTAAAAAGAAGGGGAAAAGTCAACTAGTCCTAGTTCTATAAAATGGCTTACTCTGACCAAATTTCAGTTACAAATATAAAACAATGATAAGTAGGATCACTGATAAATTTTAAGAGTGAATACTATACAAAACTAAATCCAGAGCTTCAAAGAAAGAAAATTATTTTGATGGCCAGCACATTACCTTGGGCTCAAGACCTAAGAAGTCGTCATCCGAGGTAGGCCATGAATCATCAATATTAGGTTTCTTGGAAATGCTTTAGAGTGAAAAAAACAATACGTGAGTTCATCTCATTACCAAGGGATCTAAATAAGGTCAGTTATCTGCATATTAAATGACATTCTCGATGAAATTAAAACTTGGAAATCTCCTGTGGTTTGGAGATACAGATAAGTTTGTCCCCCAAGGTCTGGCAGCCAATAGCTTCAGGAGGTGATGAGCCCTTTAAGAGGCGGGGCTAATAGGAGGGCCCCATCCAATCGGTGGGGAGCATGGGAGGAACAAACAGAGAAGGTGGGAAGGTCTGTTTTCTCTTCCTTTCCCTCTTTGTCTCTGTCCACCTGTCTCTGCAGTAGCTGCTGACCTACCTGCTTCTGTGGGCAATGTTGTGATTATAACCAGAAGCCAGCCTGATGCCAGGTCCTTTTACAGTTTTTAGTCACCAGACTGATAAACCAAATAACCTACTTAATCTTTACAACATACCCAGTTTTAAGTATTCCTATTTAGCAACACAGTAACAAACTAATAGGGTAAATTGGCACAGCTAGCAGGGTTGTGTTGTAATACAGATATGCAGAAATGTCATATTCCCTCTATTGTGGCAAAGCTCCCAGTTTAATTTTGAAACTGGGTAATAGGCAGAGGCTGTTAAGAGTTTGAAGAAGCAAGCTAGTGAAAGCCCAGATTATGGTGAAGGCTTCGAAGAAGAATGGTTTAGAAATGAACTGGAACTTTTTAAATTTTTATTTATTTATTTAATTTTATTTGTTATTATTATTTTTAAAATTTGACCAGAGAGAGAGAAATGGAAAGTGAGAAAGCAAGCCGCCAGGTCTGGAACTAGAACTGCAGGTCGGCCATGTGGGAGTCCAGTGCCTTAACCACCACACTATCTGCTGGTCCTGAATTGAAACTTTTAAAAAATTGGTTAAAGGTGTGTGACAGGATACAGATAAAAATATAGAGTGAAAGCTGTTCTGATTTCAGAAAAAGAGGATGAACTTATTGGGAGCTAGAGAAAAGGTCACCTTGTTATGAGGTAGCAAAGTATTTGGCCACATTGTGTTCCTGCACTAAGGTGTTGTAGAAAGTTAAGAATAGTGATCTGGACTAGCTGGTGGCATGGTAGTTAAATTAAAGCAGCTGGGGGGGCTGGCATAGTGGCTAAGGGCACTGGACTCCCATGGCTGACGGAGGTTTGGTCCTGGACCTGGTGGCTTGCTTTCTTACTTTCTCTTTCTCTCACTCTGTTCCTCTCTGGTCAAATTAAATTAATAAAGTTAAATAAAATGATTCATATATATATAATTCATTAATTACAGCAGCTGGGCATCAGCAGGTGGCATGGCGGTTGTGGCACTAGATCCTCACATGGTCGACCGTGGTTTAAGTCCCAGACTTAGCAGCTTGCTTTCTCATTTTCTGTCCCTCTCTGTCTCCCTCTGTCTCTCTCTAATGAGTGCATGTGCCCTGTAGCAAATTTTAAAAATAGTAGTAATGATAAATTAAAAAATCACAAAATAAAAATTAAAAAATAAATTAAAGCAGCTAGATCTCACATAGCTAATTGTAAATTTTGAGCCCCAGACCCAGCAACTTGAACAACAAACATCAGGAAGATGTGTGTATGCTCAAAATTTTGAAAGGAGAAATGGAAGAGAGGGGACTGTGGTGTGACTGTCCCCTATGGGGGATACTTTCTCACTCAGTGTCTCTCTGTCTTTCTCCAGCAAGTGCATGCACCTTCTGGCAGAATTTTTTTTTTTTTAATGGTGATCTATGTTCTCTAGCAGAAAAACAAAACAAAACAAAACAAAACAAACAAACAAACAAACAAACAAACAAAAAACACCTCCTTTTAGTTTGCTACAGGGTACATACACCTGGCAGAAACAGAGAGGATAGTGAGAAATGCTGGCCAGAGAGAACGGTCATGCTGCAGTCCTTTCTACTTCATTCTCCTCTCAGGATCTTGGGCATGCACACACACGTGCCCAGCATGTTTTTTAAGCCACCAGGTCCATAACTTAAATTGCACAGTCAGTCATATAGGATTCAGCCACCATAACCAACACACCACCTGCCAGTCCAAAAGAAGTTTCTAAACAACCAAATGATCAAATCTGCTGCTTGGTTGCTCCTTACTGATTTTAGTGAAATTCAGTGGGAAATAGTGGAAAGATTTGGAAAATTCCCAGTCTAACCATGTACAAAACTAAGAAACTATTAGACAGAGAATGCTAAAATGGATTGTGGTATGATCATGCTCCATTAGGGTGTGTTTTCTCCCTCTCTTTTTCTCTAGAGAGTGTACATTTTTTTAGGAGGAAAAAAAAAGCCATAGAAGAAAAACAACTAGGCAGGAGTTGTAGCCTGAGGAGAAAACCAGCCTGGGACATCAGTAAGTAGAAAAATCGATCAATTAAAAATATCCTCAAGGGGGCCACCCATGTGGCATGGTAGTTAAAGCAAGTGGATCCCACATGGCCAACTGAGCAATTTGAGTCCCAGACCTTGCAGCTCAAAAAACATGCCAGGAGCATGTGCCTGTATGCACAAAATCCTGAGAAGAGAATGAAGAAGAAGGGACTGCATTATGGTCATCCTCTCCCAAGAGGTGCTTCTCATTTTCCCTCTCTTCCTCTGTCTCTCTCTAGTACAGGCACAGTATCTTATAGCAAATTAAAAAGAGAAAAAAATTAGAACAAGAAAAATATTCTCTAGGGCAAGTCAGTGATGTAGTGGTTAAGGAAGCTGCTACCACATAGCTAACTGCATCATTCAAGTGCTGGACCTGATTGCTTGAAAAACATGTGGACACATGTACATGCATGTCAAAGATCCCAAAAAGAGAATGGACAGAATGGAGGCTTGTGGTATGGGTATCCCCTCTGAGGATGCTTTCTGTCTCTGTCTTTCTCTGATGAGCACATGTGCCCTATAGCAAATTTTTAAAATAATTCTCTAAATGGATTTTTTTAAAGAATTATTTTATTTACCTTTATCTACTTATTTATTTATTTACTTATTTTACTTTGACCAGAGAGGGACAGAGTGAGAGAGAGAAAGTGAGAAAGCAAGCTGCCAGGTCTGGGACTTGAACTGTGGTCAGCCATGTGGGAATCCAGTGCCCTTAACCACTATGCCACATGCCAGCACCAAATTCTCTAAATGGATGTTAAATTAACTAACATGATTTATATGTAGACACTCTTCACTTATGGTAAAATAATCTCTTTCTAGCACTTGCTTGATCTCTTTTAAGAATTATTTAATTAAATTATTTTAATTTGCTAGAGGGCATGTCTATTTACCAGAGAAAAACACAAACAGGGAGAGAGAGAGAGAGAAGGGAGAAAATGAGAAAGCAAGCCATCAGGTCTGGGACTCAAACCATGGTCTGCCATGTGGGAGGGAGTCCAGTGCCCCAACCACCATGCCACCTGCTGGCCTTGTTTGATCTTTACTATGTAAAACCTATGGTCCTATGACCACAGCTAAGTGAGATGTGCCCTTGAATTTTTGATGGTAAAAACAAGGTACTGGTTGTCAGTGTAATTTTCAAATATATTAGGACAAACTAAGGTTTTCTTAGGAAAGCTAAATCAAAGTCAATATGTAACTAAATCGGACTTTCTATATTGATCAGACTTGATCTGTACTAGATCCCAGCACTGCAGAGGTTCCTATTAGTCTATGCTGATGAGCAAGACAATGAATTTGGGAGCTTTCAGGACTGACAGTAGTTATGGGTCAACTACTTACTAACTATGGCATGGGATTATTGGCCAATTAACCAACCTCTCTGAACCACAATTGCCTAGTTAGCAAGTACTTTGCAAAGCTGTTGTGATAGTTATAACAAATACTAAGCACAAAATATGGTGCCTGGCCCAGAGGAGAACACGCAACAGTTTCTTGTCTCTGTATTCCCTTAGTTAACTTTCAATTTTTAAAAATCTCTAAAATCTTACCTGCTTATAGAGTCTTCTTCAGAACTTTCCTCCACTATTAAAGAGAAGAATAAAACACATTTTAAATCAATAAGAGCAAAATAAAGATTTTTAAACTCATTCTTTGTTACAAAGTATTCTTTGGTACTATACCTGGAGACTACACTAGAATGAATATTGATTATACAATTGGTAGCCAATTACAGCCTTTTCTCACTTAACTACCTACTTCTTTAATGATCACTCAGATTTATGCCCATTTCTCCAGCATGGGGGAAATCCCCTTCCTCAGTCTGAGTCTCTGCAATCCTTTATCTCATTATTTGTCTTGTTTTTGTAATTAAGAACTACACAAAGGATTTGCAATCATACAAGACTGAATATTTCTTTTATAAATCTGTACTTTATTTATTATACACCAATAGTAGTATTCAGAATAACTAACAATGATAGTTAGATGTATTATGTTTTGGTGTGTCTTGCTGCTTTCTGGTACTTTTCTAATGTATGCCTTTTATATGGATAGAATTATATTATTTTAGGGTGTTGTCACATGTGATCTATTGAAAAATATATACTTTATCATGCCACAACACACCACAAGATATTTGCCTTTAAACTTCCTGCCTTTCAATCAATTCACTTAACCGATGGAAACTTGGTATCAGTCACTAAGTGAGCAGTGCCTATAATGCATTACAAACTCTTACTTCCCCTCTGAACTTATTAAATGCAAGGAAGAATGAGATTACTAAAATTTGATAACTATAAGTGAGCTGTTTTGTAAAATGGCTATAACTCTAATTGAACATTACCAAACTAACAGAAATGTTGTCAGAAGCAGAATCAGTATCATAAGCTGACAGTGTCAAACAGCATGATTTTTCTAGAATAATGGCACTAAGACCAGTTAGAAGAAAGTACATTTAGTTGCGACACAACATAATGTCTCCAGCTCTTCAGTCAAAACTGTTCAGTTTAGGATCAAACACCAGATTACAGACCAGCAGGTGGTGTGGTATTAAGGCACTGGCTCCCACATGGCCAACTACATAATTGGAATCCTGGACTCGGTGGCTTTTAGAACACACTGGGCATGTGCACATGCATGCCTGGAGTGTTTTTCAAGCCCCTTGACTGAGATTCCAACCACAAAGTCAGCCATGTGGGATCCAGCTGTGTTAACCACCATGCCACAAATTATGGGTCAACTACTGACCCTGGAGACAGGTCTATTGAAAGTACCTGCTGGTTCCCCTAGAGTTTATGCTATCTTAACTCATGGAATCTTCTCTGGTCCAGCCATCTCTCGCATCAACAATGCTTGCTTTGAAGCAGTAGTAGTCACCAATACCATACCTCAGGAGGACAAGATGAAGCAATGTTCTAAAATACAGGTTATCGACATCTCCATGATCCTGGCAGAGGCTATCAGGAGAACCCACAACAGGAAATCTGTGTCCTACCTATTCAGCCATGTCCCTTTTATAACAGAGTAACTTCTAAGGCTTTTTAAAAGTAAAATCAACCTGGGACCAGCAGTTAGTGTAATGGCTATGTTGCTGGACTCCCACGTAGTTGACCGCGGTTCGCGTCCCGGACCCGGTGGCTTAAAACGCCGGGCGCGTGTGCATGCGTGCCCAAGATCCCAAGAGGAGACTGGAGGAGAAGGGATTGCGGCGTGGCCATCCCCCCTGGGGGGTAATTTCTCACTTTCTGTCTGTCTCTGTCTGTCTGGCGGGCGCACGCGCCCTATAGTGGAAACCTCTCTAAATAAATAAATAAAATAAAATCAACCTCATCCTTGTTTTCCCTTGGTATTTGATGAAAAATTCAGCAAAAGACTCAGCTTGCTCCAGTGTAGCTTTCTACGTCCCACATCAAGTATATTAGAATTTATCCTAAATTAAGGAAAGTCAGATTGAAGACTGCTGGGAAATCCTACCTGCATTGTCTCATTCTGGCTTCCTTGATGATTTTGTGAGCCTTGCAGCTTTAACTATACAACTCAGCTGCTGCAAGATTTCAGATTTTTGAAGGTGTTGTGTAGGGGTGTTTGAAAGTGATTTAGGAAGCTCAGACTGCTTTGCATGTGAATGCTTCAGGGTTTTCTTTGTTCCTAACAGCTAGCAACAAAGCCAACCCATGTATGTGAGAGCTTCTCTAAGGTCTATGCTAAATTATAGCAGGAGCCCTGGGCAGCCCCAAACCTAGTCCTGTTAGCTGAGTACCCTGTAAGGTAGGAGCAAGCATCTCAGCTTGAATAGGTACTGGGAGGGGGGTTTGATGAGGGAGGGGGGGGGAGAATGATTTAGCACAGCTCAACAAATGTTTCTTGGGAGGAAGAAGCCTGATCCATCGCCATCTGCTCGACCTATGTAGCTTCGATTCTCCTTTGTACCTATTCCTTTTGATTTGGCTTTACCTTCAGCCGTCTTGACCTTTTCCCGGCCAGATATCTTCTTGAGTCCAAATGATCATTATCCCAGTGTGTTCTGGAAAGCAAACTCACTTCCTGCTGTATAATCATTAACATTCACTTTAGGTGATTTATTGTAGCTTAATCTTCCTTAGCCTACTACCACTGTGGTATTAGGTTTGGTGGTATTGCAGTGCCTTTTGATTAATTCAAGTATTTTTCATTTTCCTTCCTTGGATCTGTTAGGCCACTCAAATGACCTGAGATTTCTGTTAAAAATATTGATGATGTTGTCTCTTGTAGAGGAAACTAATAAAGTGTATGTGCGTGGAAAAAAAAAGAAATTAAGAAAAAACACACATGAATCTTACACACTGGTTTGCATCAGTTGTTTCATTTGTGTGTGTGCGTGTGTGTGTGTGATTTAAGATTTTTGCCATAGGGTGTATGCACCAGCCAGAGAGTAACAGAGACAGTGAGAGAGAACGTGAGAGATCATTCCCAGGGAGATGGCCACACTGCAACCCCTTCTCCTCCATGCTCTTAGGATTTTGGGCACATGCACACACCAGCATGAGTTTCAAGCTGCCAGGTCTGGGACGAGAACCTTGGTCAGCCCTGTGGGAGTCCAGCACCTTACCCACCATGCCACCTGGGGCCCTGTGTCAGTTATTTTTTTAAACAAGGTCCCACTATGCTTTAATCCTTCTGCCTCATCCACACAAGTGATGGGGCTATAGGCATACACTGACATGCCCGGCTCTTTAGTATAGGCTGGAAATCAAATCCAAGCCTCTTATGTGGCCTCAGCTTGCTCAGCAATAGCATCCAGCATGAATTTTCACTGCTTGGCCTATATTTTGGGGTTTTTTTTTTCCAACTGTTCTTCTATGACTAAAACTTTCAGGCCTATATTCAGCAGTAGTTAAGGCACTAGATCCCACGTGGCCAACTCACCTGGGAGCTTGAAAAGCACGCTGGGCATGTGTGCATGCATGGCCTAAATCCCAAGAGGAGAATGGAGGAAAAGCGACTGCAATGTAATCATCCCCCTGGGGGGTGATTTCTCACTTCCTTTCTCTCTGTCTCTCTCTGGAGCATCCTATAGCAAAACTAAAACAAACAAAACAAAAAATTTCAGGCCTAGTTGGTGGCACAGGGGTAATGCAACTGGACCCACATGACACAGTCCCACATTCCCATCCCAGGGCCTCTTTGTGCAAACTACCAGAATGTGCCCAGGATGCACACTGGTGAATTTGAGTGTAGACTAATAGTGTGAAGACCCTGTGGAAAGTGCTTCTCTCTTCCTCTCTCTCTCTCTCACACACAGAATAAATAAATAAACTTAAAAAGAAAACATTCTTATTCTTTCTTTACAGTGGGGTCACCAAGAGTAACTTACTACTAGAAGTCTTACCTGGATTGTTATTTTGAGACATTTTAGGTTTGTAATCTTCGTCATTTTTAAAAAGTAGATGGCAATTACTATATAAAAAAAAGATAAATAAAGTTACTATTTTAATATCTATATGAAAAACATTTACCGATATTGGGTTGTCAGGAGAGTCATGATACATTTTTGCAAAGAAAAACATAGATCATGACTTTCTGATGACCTAGTATATTAAACTCTTACAGTAATTCAGACAGTATCAGAGATAATATCAGAATTTTAATTATCCCACATACTTCAAAGCTCTACAAACTTTTTATTAAGCTTATAATTAAAGAAGAAAAAAGTAAGTCATGACTTGAGGGCAGTATAGCTCAGTAAATTAACCAGTTACTTGACATAATGAAAAGTGTTCTGAATGAAAGTTTTAGATCTGTAACAAACAGCTGTATGTTCTTAGGCAAGTTACTTCTCTTAGACTCAAGGTCTTCTAAGAGGTAAGAACTTTATTGCCTTAGTCTACTAGGCTGTTATGAAGATTTAACAAGGTATTTTTTTTTTAATATCCTTAAAGAAACAGCAAAGCAATAGAATAATTTGTTCTTTAACTTTATTACTAAAAATACTTTGGAATCCCAGCTGTAACCCAATGTATGCTCTTTTATAGGCTTTAACTTTCAAATGTTTTAGTTTTCAAAAAATGTTATTAAGTCCCAATTATGGTTATTATTATGTTTTCTTTGTGGTGTGTAATTCAGGATATCTAACTAAATTTTTAAATATATCATCAAATTAGACAATTGTCCCCTTATTATCGAGCTAATCAAGGATAGAAAACTAAAAGACGTCTACATCTGACCTGTGTGTTACTGTTATTTCTTCTTTACCTACTCGAACTGAACCAGTAGATCTTTGTTAGAATAACAATGTCCATGTTCATCTTCAACTGACTTGGAGGACAAAACCCTACTTTAATACATGGATACCAATGAGTCAAAGATGGGGCTTAGTTCTGTTAAATCTAACTAACCTATTTTAGATTTAGAGAATTCTGTTGAATGGCTTCCTTGCAAGGCAGATTTTTTTTGGTTAAGATGGGGGAATCCAGTGCCTTAACTACCATGCTCCTTGCTCGCTCAGTAGAACGTGTTTTTCTGAGTGGGGGGACTGTGGATTAGAAATAAACATAAGGCACACCGTCTTAAGGCTGAGCCATGGTAGACATTGCAAGGGCTGGGGATCCCCAGCCTGTGAGCCCCACATCATCTCTTGTGGGAGCCTGAGCCATCGAGCAACTTTCTCCCTTTGTCTCATAACCATGTCCACCAATGAGAATGTTAATTCACCAGTTGCCTGTCTTAACAGATTCAAGAACAAGGGAAAAGACAGTACAGAAAAGAGGCAGCGAAGAATAAAAGTTAATATGGAGCTGGGAAAGCTAAAAAGGATGACCAGATGCTGAAAAGAAGAAATGTAAGCTCATTTCCGGATGCTACTCCTTCACTGCAGGAAAACTGCAACAACCAGGGCACTATAAATTGGTCCTTTGACGACACTGTCAAAAGCATAAATGGCAACAACTTGGAAAACCAGCTCCAGGCTACTCAAGCTGCGAGGAAGCTGCATTCTAGGGAAAAACAGCTCCCCATAGACATTATCCAGGCTGGGTTGATTCCAAAATTTGTGTCCTTTTTGAGCAGAAATGATAGTAGTCTTATCCATTTGAATCTGCTTGGGCACTCACTAACACTGGGAAATCTCATAGATTTTTCACTTCCTTGATGAGATTTATTCCTAGGCATATTTTGTTTATGTGGATATTGTAAATAGGATTTCTTCATTTTCTATCTCGGTCCATTCATCATTGATATACAAAAATGCTACAGATTTTTCTGTTGATTGTGTATCCTGCAACTTTAGAAAATTTACACCTGAGAGTTGTTTGATGGATTCTTTGGGGTTTTTTTTGTTTGTTTGTTTGTTTATTTTACTGCCAGAGAGTGCATGCAAAAGAAAAAGAGACAGAGACAGAGAAAGCATTCCCAGTGGGGTATGATAATGCCACCATCCTTTTCCCTCAATTTCTTCATTCTATAAGGATTTGAAGCATACACACACATGTATTTGGAATTTTTTCAGGCTATCAGGACCCAGTTGGTCATGCAGGATCTGTTTCTCTATACAACTATAACATTATAGTTATGTATCTTAGAGAAGATTTTAGGCTGAATCTATTTAACATCGTTTGAATTTCTCAGATCTGCTTATCTGTATTTCTCTTAAGATTTGGGAGGTTTCCAGTTACTATTTTTTTTTTTTTTTGAGAGGCTTTTGCTATAGGGTGTGTGCGCTCACCAGACAGACAGAGAGAGACAGAGAGACAGAAAGAGAGAAATCACCTCCCAGGGGGGATGGCCACGCTGCAATCCCTTCTCCTCCATTCTCCTCTCGGGATCTTGGGCACGTACACACACTCACCCGGCGTGAGTTTAAGCCACTGGGTCCGGGACTCGAACCACGGTCAGAGTCCAGCGACATAGCCATTACGCTAACTGCTGGTCCCTTCAGTTACTATTTTGTGAAATAAATTTTCCATGTCTCTTCCCATTTCTTCACCTTCTAAGCTACCTATTATATGGGTATGTGGTCACTTAATAGTGTCCAAAATTTCCCTTTTTTTTTTCAATTTTTTTTTCTTTCTTCTGATGGTGTGGACTACTTCAAAAGATGCATCTTCAAGTGCAGAGATTCCTCCTTCTGTATGGTCTAACCAGTTTTTCATGATCTCTACAGAATTTTTTTTCATATACTATATTCATCTCCAGGATTTCTGTTTGTGCTTAAGATATCCATTGTGCTAGTAAATTTCTCATTATGCCATGCATTGCTATCTCATCATTTGGAACTGCTCATCTATGTTCTGCATTTTATTGAGGTTTCCTATTTGAAACTGGCATACCTGGTGTGTATAGTTAAGGGTGCTGGACTCCCACATGGCTGACCATAGTTCGAGTCCCGGATGTGGCAATTTGCTTTCTCACTTTCTCTCTCTCAAGCTGTCTTGCTCTGCCCCTCTCTGGTCAAATTAAAATAAATAATTAATTAATTAAAATAATAAATAATTATTTAAAAATTATTATTTAACTTTATTTATTATTATTTTTAAATTTGACTGGGGAGAGAGAGAGGGAAAGTGAGAAAGCAAACTGCCAGGTCCAGGACTCTAACTGTGGTCGGCCATGTGGGAGTCTAGCACCTTAACCATGACACCACCTACTGGCCCCTTGTTGAGCTTTTTAATAGTCAGTATTCTGAAATCCATTTTTTGACATTTCTGTGATTTCTAGCATTTTGCCCATTGTTACCAAAGAGGTGGGGCAGAGATATTTTCTTCTTTTTTCATGTTTCTTGCGTCCCTGAGTTGATATTTTGACATCTGCTAGGATAGTCATTTCTTCTATTACATAGCTTGGGTTTTATAGTGGTAATATTTTTTCTTTTTTAAAGTTTTGCTATAGGGCATGTGTACCCACTAGAGAGAGACAGAAAGAGATGTAAAGTGAGAAATCATCCTCCCCCCCAAGAGGGATGGCCACACCATGATCCCTTCTCCTCCATTCTCCTCTCAACATTTGGGCATGCAAACTGGCATTTCTCAAGCCACCAGGTCAGGGACTTGAAGCATGCAGTTAGTCAGGTGGCATCTAGTCACCATGACCTCCACAGCACCTGCTGGTCCAGTAGTATCTTTTATTTTAAATTTGGTCATTTACTCGTTTTTCCTATAGCCATGTCTTTTAGTATTGATTGGATCATATTGACTTTGGTTCTAGTTGAGCTTAGTATAGAAGACTCTGTATATTGTCAGAGACACCAGTAGGAATGATGGGGGCCTGTGAGCCTATGTTTTCAGGCTCTAGGCAAGGGTTAGCATTATGTACGGATATTCAACCTGTAAAGAGAGTGGATTCCTTCAAACTGACAGCAACTGCTACCCTGTGGAGTGGTCACCTGAACTCTAACACCCTGTCTAGGGCATGAGGTCCTCCTCTAGGGAAGGCAGTCAGGTAAAGATACCAATTGAAAGGAAGCATCAACATTAACCTGTCTTGGATGGGTCACACAAAGAGGGATGTAGCTGCTAGTTAAGGAGTTGTGACTCAGAGGGCGGCTAGGTGTTTAGTTCAGCCTTTGTGTACATGCTCTGAAGACAGAGAAACTGTCTGCTCTACTGCCTAATTCTCTCCACAGATGCAGTACCCTCCACAGGCAATCCATTGCAGGTGGGCAGGGCAGGAGTTGTTACTGTTGAGGCTGGAGGTTGCACACACCCTCCTGCATAGATGGGGTACAGGAAAGAATGGCACACCAGCCCACAGGGCTGAAGGGGAGGCTAGAAAGTGGACGAGGCAATGACTACGTCTGCTCTATTTGCCCAAGAGAGGTGTGTGTGCATCTCAGTGTTCTCCTGCAGCTGGGGAGTACTCGAGTTGAAGTAGAAGCAGGGAGCTCAAAGCTTCTGAGGGGAGTTCCATTCACCTCTCTCCCACAGTGAAAGGCTCTGGTAAGCTCCGGTTCCTTTCCAAGTTCAAACAATTGACCTCCTTGTGTCTCCTGCTCAAGACTTGGCACCCCAAAAGCCTCCCACTATCCTGTTCTTGTTTCTGCCAGTCTCATTTCATTCTTCTACTTGAGATGCAGCCATCTATCTAGTTTTTTTGGAATCTTTGCCTTAAGTGATCCCATGATGGATGTCCCTAGTCAGCTATCTGCTCAATTCCCTCTCTCATAACTCAAATATGGTACACTGTTATAATTGTCCCATTCTATTATTAGTGTTGTTACTCTCTTACTATGCCTAATTTGTAAATTAAACTTTACCATAGGTAGATATGCATAGGACAAGACATAGTTTATATAGGATTCAGTATTATTCACAATTTAAGCCATCCACAGGGGAATTAGAACATATTCCCTGTGTTGGGGCCAGCAGTTGGCATGGTGGTTAAGGCGCTAGATTCCCATATGACCAACTGCAGTTCAAGTCCCAGATGCAGTAGCTTGAAAATCACGCCAGGTACACATGTGCCCAAAATCCTAAGATGAGAATGGAGGAGAAGTGATTGTGGCATGGCCATTCCCACTCAGGGGTGACTTTTCACTTCTCCTTTCTCTCTCTGTCTTCTTTCTGATAAGCACACAGGCCTTCTGACAAAAATCTTAAAAAAGAGGGAACCAGCAGTTAGTGTAATGGCTATGTCGCTGGACTCCCACGTAGTCGACCGCAGTTCGCATCCCGGACCCGGTGGCTTAAAACTCACGCCGGGCGCGTGTGCGTGCGTGCCCAAGATCCCGAGAGGAGAATGGAGGAGAAGGGATTGTGGCGTGACCATCCCCCCTAGGGGGGTGATTTCTCGCTTTCTGTCTCTATGTCTCTCTCTGTCTGTCTGGCGAGCGCACGCGCCCTATAGTGAAAAAAAAAAATCTTAAAAAAGAAAAATAAAACAACACAAAAAAGCAGTACTATACCTTTGTGGCCTATCAATGGCATGCATATTTGCTTCTTTCTTTCTTAAGAATTCCACCATTTGCTGTTTATTTTCATTCATGGCAAGTTCAAGAGGTGTGATGTCAGTCTGTGAAACAGTAAAAGCAATTTATTATTCACAAAGTTACATATTTCTCAACTGAACTGAAAAACTTATTTATAAAAGATCCTTTCTGGGCCAGCAGTTGGCATGAAGATTAAGGTGCTAGATCCCACATGGCTGTGTGGTTCAAGTCCCAGATTTAGTAGTCTGAAAATCATGACAAGTGAATGTACATGTATACCTAAAATCCTGAGAGGAAACTGGAGGAGAGGGGACTGCAGAGTGACCATCACCACTAGAGGATGATTCTTCACTTTCCCTCTTTCTCCCTTTAGTGAGCACACATAGCAAAAACTTAAAAAGATAAAAAAAAGAGAAGGAAAGAAATTAAAAGATCCTATGAACCTAAACATCTAATATAAAAAGTAAAAAGTAAACCCTTCCTTCTCACTGTGTTCTCACATGTGCTCTTTCTCTTGGAAACACTCCTCTGTCTCTTCACATGAGCTCCAGTCATCTCCAGAACTCAGTCACCCGTTCTGAGAATCTTTGCTTCTATGACAGCATTTACCATGATACAGTGTAGTCATGGTGTTACTCCCTACATAAGCAAGAGCTTCTTGAGGGCAGGATCTATTAGATTCATTGTTTAAATGTCTTTTTCTGGCAGAATAGGATAACGTGAGTTAGTTGTTTTTCCCTCATTTCCCACTTATCGGCACCTACTTACCACCACTCTGGTTTCCTCAAAGTTCTCTAAAATTGATCTCCAAGTTTACAATTAACTCACTATCTTTTCCATATTGAGAATTATTCTCCTCAAAACTGAAAAGCTCCATATCCAAACATTTAAACTGGAAAATACACACAAACGAAAATGAAATCTTCATAGTATTTCCCCTTCTACTGTCTAATTTCAAGATTGGCCTGTGTACTCCTGATTTCTCACTTCCCTTTCTATTTTTTCGTCTTAGCTTTGCCACTATATAAATATATGAAAACTATATAAATCACCTTTATAAAGTTTTTTTTAACAGATTTTTGTTATAGGACATGTGTACTTACCAAAGAGACAGAAAGCGAGAAATCACTCCCCACCCCCCGAGGGATGGCCATACCTCAATCCCATCTCCTCCATTCTCCTCTTGGGATCTTGGGCACACACACATACACACCAGGCATGAGGTTTAAGCCACAGGGTCTGGGACTCAAACCACAGTCGACTACATGGGAGTCCAGTGATATAACCATTATGTCAATACCATAAAGATTTCCATTCATTGTAAAATGTTTTTGTTTGAGTTTTAAGAGAAAACCTATTTTCCAAGGCAAATTTTGCTTTCCTAGCCTGTTTTACACTAATAAAAAATTGGGGTACAAAGAATAATTGAATAAAAAATGCTTGCTTTAATAAATACAGTGCTTCACAAACATTTGCCACAAATATATTTTTTAAATTTAACTTTATTTATTATGTACATATGAATGTATTCATTTATTTTAATTTGACCAGAGAGGGGGATAGAGAGAGAGAGAGAGAGAGAGAAAGGAAAGTGAGACAGCAAGTTGCCATGTCTGGGACTCAAACTGAGGTTGGCCATGTGGAAGTCTAGTACCCTTAGCTACCACACCACTTGCCAGATCCTAAATGCATTTTTTTTTTTTT